CACTTGGAAGGTCATAGAGCGACTAAGTCCATCTCATTCTAAATAAATTTAAGAATTTTGATTAAATGGTATGTTATCTAAAATTATTGGAATAAAAGCAAAATTTTAATTTTAGTTAGAATGGTAACATCACGGTATCATTATCTGTTATTCAGATATGTCTCCACTAAGTAACCAATTCAAATTTTACATCATCAACATGTTCTCTGATTTATTCTTTGAATTATGGAAGATGTTGTCATAATAAAACTATTGTTTGATTTCCTGATGAGAGAGTCTGGAATTTTCAATACATGTTTTCCAGTTCCTGACATCGTTCATTCAGAAGCATTGAGGCTGCTTCAGCGAACATTAATACCTTAATTTAAATTGTGTTTTGGCTTTAATCACGGTATTTGTGCCAGTCCTACAGAGAGATAGAGCCAGACAGTAGCCACTCTTGAGTGCAGCCTGGTGATTTCACCCAGATAACATAGAGGTAGTCCTTGACTTACAACTATTCATTTAGTGACTGTTCAAAGTTACAATCGCACTAAAAAAAGGTGAGTTATCACCATTTTTCATACTTACAATCACTGCAGCACCTCTGTGGTCACATGATCAAAATTTAGACGCTTGGCAACTGGCATATATTTAGGAAGGTTGCAGTATCCTGGGGCCAGGTGATCACCTTTTCCGATCATCTGACAAGCAAAGTCAGTGGGGAAATCAGATTCACTCAACAACCATGTTACTAATTCAACAACTGGTGTGATTCACTTAACACTGTGGCAAGCAAGTTTGTAAAATTCACCTAACAAGTGCCTTGTTTAGCAACAGTAATTTTCAGCTCACTTGTGGTCGTATGTCAAGGACTACCTGGAGTTCAGGTTGAGCTACTGCATCTACCAAGTATCAGCAGAGAGTAAAAAGACATATACTCACATACTTTGCTCATAGCTGAGCAAAGAAATAATCAGACTATATTGTGTTTCCACATTAATTTTCTGATATGTTATGAAAGGATTGCAAGAGAGAGAGAAGGCATCTATTATAGGTTTTTTAATATCTCCGCTTTGAGGGAGGAGACTTGAGTACCTTTCAAAACAGGAAATCAGGCCAAATGGGTGTGGAGCTTCCATGGCTGTTGCCCTATTTTCCAGAGTGGAAACTATATAGCTGGAGTGATCCTGCTGACAAGCACCACCTTTTTTTTTTGTTTGTTTAACTCTGTGCTCTAGAATGTTGTCCCTATGTATATATTGTAGCTATTACTGATGTTGACAGTGACCTGTTTACAGGACACTCTTAAGTAGAGCAGGGCATTAGTGCATAAGCACCATAAACCAACCAGTTAATGCCAGTAATTTGACATAGAACAGCTCAGTTTTAGTCATCAGCAGCTAAAGAACCAGAAAGTGAGATTTCAGCATGCCTTATCTGCATTTCCCCACAATACTAATTCAGTATATCAGGGCCTAAATAATCCTGACCTGAAATTCTTTCCCAATTTGTTGATCAACTGTGTTGTCTGAACAGGATTGGATGGGTTATTAGTTCTCTCCTCTTAATCCCAAAAGCTAAACACCATGCTAAAAAAGCTATGCAAAATTGTTTGCTTTTGAAGGCATTCCATCTTTATCTTTTTTTAAAAAAAAAAAGCTTTCTGTTTGAATTATGGAAAATGGGCAGAAAGGAAATGGAAGTTGAGTTTCTGACTCCAACTGCAATAATGAGCACATTGATCAACTTCCCGGTGTCCTTTAAAGCCAGACTAAGAAATCAGCTAATCCTTGTTATCTGCCTCATCATCCATTATCCTTTGCAAGGGATGAATTAGTTAATTGAGGGAGCAACTGACACAATGAACTGCTGGTGAACGTTGCCAAGCAATGTTCAAAATTATCTCAAATATTTGATTCACTAGTAACTAGTTGGTGTGATAAATTATACAGGTGTCAAAAGCAAGTTTTGAAATAGTTTTCGTAATAGTTTACTGAATTTTTAATATTCAGTAAAATGATTGGGAAATAGCCCACAATTATTCCATCCCCCCAAAATGAAGACTATTTTTACTATATACATTAGAATTGTATCAAGCCTTTCTAATTGGGACAATTAATTACAGTAACATCTGTTAGATAATTGAAAAGTTCCATCAGACAAACATTCAAATTGTACAAATAAAATAATATCTTCATAAAAATGTTGGTCCAATGTGTTAATTTTTTAACAACTTTTAAAATTGTTCACTGAATCTTTAAGACAAAATCTAAACACTAAAATTCAAAACATCTTGAAATGTTGTAGGGTGCATGATACACTTTGGCCCTATTTTTATCTTTTATAGCAATTAAAACTTGCTATAAAAGATAAAAATAGGGCCAAAGTGTATCATGCAACTCTCCTTCAAAAAATTAAGTTTTGTGTGAATATTTTAAAAGACATTCAGATGAGTCCCCCCCAAAAAAACTCTTAAGTCAGTTTGGGGAGAAACCATCATCCAAACAGGAACCACAGAATTATTTTATCTTTAATGTGGACATCCCATGTTAATAGTATAAATACAAGCAGTTTATAAAAGTGAACTGCTAAAGAGAAAGCTTTTCTCATATTTATTTGGGGTATTAAAAAGAGGAAAAAAATAAGGCACCAAAATAGCAAAACTCCTGTGAGAAGGAAAAGTGTGGTAGATAAACTCAGTTTCCCACAAAAAGAGGTTGAACTCGTCATGAGGTTTGCACTGTGACATAATTTCATCCTTCAGATTCAAATTATAGCAGATACACTGAGATGCCAGAGATTGTGAGGCTGTATCTTGAAGCTGAAGGACAACTGAGGTAGGGATTGTGCAGATAAAAATTTATAATCTTGAAAGAAAAAATAATTTTGACACTACTTGAAAAGAATATTGTGGACAAATAAGGTTTCTAAGTGCAGCCCATGGTACACATCAGTGAATCCAGAAATACCTGACAGCATTTGTTCCCTAAATTCCAAAGGTGTATACATTGCATATGCTTTCTAGTTGATATATATAAGCAATAAAGTGTTGTCTTGCAAAGTAATCTCTAGATTAGAAATCCTAGTTTGCCTAGAATGGATATATTCAGGGTTGTACTTGTGACACACAAGCCAAGTGCCCACGTCTAACCAATACATCCTGTTAACAGAGAATGCTGCATTTGGCAAGGGATGTATGACTACGTTTGGTGATTTCTTTCACTGTATTAAAATCACTGTTTTTTTAAAAAAGAGCAGGTAAAGTATGTTGCACCTCTTGCTGCCAGACAATATTAAATAAATCACTTGCTTGATTTGGTATCAAGCAATCTACTAAGTATATAGAAAGTTTTTTTTTTCCTGTATTACCCAAATGGTCAAAAACAACTGGACTAGAAATGGCATCAATTTCTGCTTCATCTGGAATGAGGCCATACAGTATGTACAAGGCACCTGGACATCCTCTGAGAGTTTTGAGAAGCATTTTTAATAGGGGCTAAAGTGCTTATTGCATTTAAAAAATTTAGTAGCAACACTATGTTCTGTGGCCAGCTGCTCCTTTTCTAATGTCATTTGCCAGGCACAAGAGCAGCACTTGTATCAAAAATGAGTTTCCTGAGAGTCATTACCAGGGCCAAGCCATTGTCCATACAGTCTCCAAGCTTTCCTTTGATAAACATGGTAATGCTGACAGGCTTTCCAATCATCTGTTTTCCTATCACCAACATATCAATTCAGGCCTAGTAGAAGCCATAGGAGAGCCAACAAAATTAAGTTAAATTGAGTTAGTTAGCTCCTCTATTCCTTCCCAATCGTCGGGAAGAAAAGCGGGGAAAGGGCCATAGTATCTAAACACTTTCTTAAAGCCACAAAGGAAATTGGGTTGGGTACCTGGCTATGCTACTTGCTTTGCTGAATTGTCATGAAGAATTCTAATGGATGGAAATAATTACTGCAATGCTGCTCATTGGGCTATGGCTAGCCTTCATTTTCCCTCCCCAAATGACAATCAGATCACTGTAGGAGAGGGCGGGAGGGGATGAAAGGGAAAGATTAAAAAGAACTTTTCAGAGTAAGAAATGTTATTGCTGTATTATTACTGATTTTCCACATACAGTACTGTTCACCGACAATCTTTCAGCTTCCAACAATTAGGCACAGCAGTTAACCTCTGAAGGAATGTTATACAAATGTACATACCGGATGCTACAAGTCATCCACTGACTTTTTTTTTTAGTCTCATATGGCATCCATCCATTCAATCTTTAAAAACTGCAGAGAAAGAATTTCAGAGAAATGTGCTTTATCTAGAATGATGAGCACTTTGTCTCTACACTCTAGAAATAAACCAGATTTCTGCAAAACAATTCTGCAGATATCAAGGAGTCACAGAAATGATTTGTGTAAGATAGCAACTTTATTCCCAGCTGTCCAAGCTTTTTTTTTCCCAAGAAAAAATAATCCTGCATCCTTCCAATTGTCATGGATGTGTGTGTGTATGAGTGCACATGAACATAAGTGTTTAATCCTAGAATTGAGAGGAACTATTCTAGATTCTAGTGCCTTTAAAAGCTACGCAGCAGAAAAATGTCCAAGTGGCCTAAAAATAGACACTTGTTGATTGTCTCATTCCTGTGCAGCCATTCAAAATGCAAGGTTGTCTATTTAGGAGAAAATGTTGGATATGCAAACAGACTTGTAAAGAGTACTCAATTCTTTCACCATGCATCACATTTTTAAAACTTTTATGATTGCAGGGATGCCTTCTTTGTGCATATACTGTAACCATTATGAGGCCAACACCTTTTTATACTCTGTCTATTCTGCACAGAAAGGCAGAAATATGGGTGAGGTGTTGTCATACATAAGAGTGTGGGTACCTAGCATCTCAAATCATCCCAGGTTCTGAATTTCAGGGATTCCTCCTTCATTTGACGAAAACCGCCCTCTGAATTGCCACACCAAGAAGCAACTGGGAACCTTAGTCATTCTTGAGAGAAGGAAAATGTAAACATTCAGTTGGTCATAACAAAGAATTTTTTTTAATGAATTCAACTGAAGAGAGAGAACTCCAGTTAGATCTCACTATACAAACAAAAAAAGGTGTCCGCAGTGCCATGAAAGCATCATTTACATGTGTTAAACTTGGGGATGGGGTTAATGAACACAATCACAAAAGTAGCAATGAAAGAACACAGAATAGAATCAAATGGGATGTGGAAATGAACAGCAAGAGAAAGTAGAAAATAATAATTATAATTTTATACACACACATACATATAAAACCTTCATTCTTTTCCATCTATAGTTTGATTTCATTTTACGAAATGGTACTACATTAAATCTGTAAAAGCATGGCCATTATTTTAAGTTTTTTTCTTTCATAGCAGCAACCTTTCTTTAAACCACCTCCATACCATTATTTTTGTAATTTTAGTGCAAATATTGTAGGCCTGCATTACAAGAAAAAGAATTAAGATGACCTCCCCGGCAAGCATCTCTGCCAACGAGAGTTCTTACACAGACATTCAGAAAAGGGCTCCCAATTTAAATCACACTCCTATCCAAACTTATTTCACCCCATGTTGGGGGAAAAGAAAAGCAAAATTTTGGATGCGTGGAAAAAAAAATAAAGATCTCTATGGATTTGTATATATGATGGGAAAAATCAAATCACTGAAACAATTTTCTCTACCAATTTTAACACTGGTGTACATACATCTAAGGTGAATGCATTTAAGATCACAGTCATATAAACGAAGAGAGAATCGGGCCCTTTGATCCTAAAGCATTCTTTCATTTTATATCATCAATTTACTGTGCTAATGAAAATGCACTTTTTCTTACCAATATTTATTGGGACTACACAGTAGAATCTATACACATGCACAACATTTATCTGCTCACTGAGACAGACCAAGTGTCTGTTTTCAACACATAATTCTGGTTTTTGTACATCAAAACAGCCACAAAAGAATCAGAACAGTATTAAAATTCAGGAGTAGAAAGGAAGCAGAACCATTTTAGGACAGAAAAATTGTCTTTTACTGAGAATTTTCTTGTTCTATCTTATAATTTGAAGAAGATTGAAAATTCATCTTTAGAAACCATTTCTTTGTACATTTTATATAAGAGAATCCCTTCCCTCTTAGGTAAGTTTTGGAGCTTCTCGTGCCCCCCCTCCATTTCTCCTAATCCTCATGATTCTTATTAATCTCATGAGATTTGCACAGAAAGACATAATAACTACTTACTTCCTTCAGTTCTTCTGGTTTTGTTTTCTATAATTAAAAAATAGGTAAATTATGTACAATTTGGTGTTCTTGCAGATTTCCCATTTTTTTGCCATGATATTCTATTTGTATATGCCAAGAGCAGCGTTAGACAATCTATTCCACCAGTCTGAATATGGAATCACATCAACATTCTTTGCTATTAATTAAAAAAAGCCCAATTCACACAAACCAATGGATGTAATGGAAGGGCATAATTTTTACTCTTGCTGTGGGAATTAAATCATATTCTGCTTGCCCATTTTAGATCTTTCTCCTGCAGAATGGATTTTTAATGAAGTGGAATAAAACACGCACTAGGATTATACTGATATGCAAAAATGTGACCTAAATGGAATATTGAACATGATCGTAGGAACCACTGATTTTTGGAAGAAACAGAAAGTGAGTTATGATAAGTCTGCTTCATTCAGCAATTGAGGCAGCCCTACTTAGAAAAGCCCTGGAAACTTTTGCCTACAAAGCGCATTGTGACTGAAATACCAATCTTTTTTGAAAGCACTTGCCTAGTGTTTATTGCACAGAGAGATACTTATGGCTTAATGACCCCACCGCCCAAGAAAACAACAATTCTCATGAATGAAAAGATCATGAAATTGAGATTAGTAAACCATTTCTAAACAGAATAGATATTCATGCAGATTTGAACAAAACAACAATGAGAACCAAAGTGAAGCACCAAAGGAATTCATGGAAAAATTATACAAAGGGAAGAGGAGAAATTATTAACCCTTACCATTACCATGTGTAATTATTTTTATTTAAAAAAGAAAAATCAGGATTTTAAAAATCTGTAAGAAAAGTTCTTTTTCAAATCCAGATCTGTGGCAAAGAAAACAATGTAAACATTATATATCTATATAAAAAAGGCAAAGACATGCTATCACTTTCATCCTCTTTTACAATATTTGACCCTCTCTAATTAATTTCATTTTGGCATAAAAAATAGGAACAACTTGTTTAATTAATGGTGGGCAGATTTATTGTAGCCAACACAAAAAATGTTTGCTTGCCAATAAATAAGAAATAATGAGTGTTTTTGATTGGGTGGAGCAGCATACTGCTAAGTTCAAAGGAACTTAGTGAATCAATTAAATAAAACAATTAAGGATAGGTTTTTTTTAAAAAAAATCCATTGATACTGATATGATGACCTCAGGTCTTGTTATATCATATGTATTCTGATGATTTAATAAGCAAAATTCATCAAACCCAGTGACTACATCACCCCTATCTGTATCATCAGGTCAAAAAGCAGGTTGAAATTAAAAGAAGCTGCAAAGCAAAGAGTTTGCTGGATTGTGTTCTAATGGAAAGAAAAAGTCAAGTATAAACATTAGAACTGGAATGGGTAAGAAGCAAGAATTTAAAGAGAAAAAAATGCATTAGTGTTGGGAGACAAATAGACTTTTTCTCTGGAAAAAATGCAGTTTTCTCCAAAATACTGCAAGAATAGGAATTGCTTTCTATCAAGGCATGCATATAAGTCTTAACGTAGTTGGGCAAAACATTGCCAGATCAGAGACTTAAATATTGCAAATTTTGTATAAACCCTATAGATTGTAAAAGATTTAGATGCAATGTATTCTACAAAACTTCTCAGGTTTGCTTTATTGCACAAAAGCCGTTATTAGGACTTCACGCACAAGCGTGTTACTCATAGAATTTTATACCACAGAAAACTAGAACTGAGATGTTACTTATCACCACCAGCCATGTGCGAGATGCCATCATATATTGCTCTCAAGAGGCTAAATAATTCCCACTACTGCGTCACCTACAGGGGGTTGGGACAATTATAAAACATGGGCCTCTGTCAATTGATCCACAGACCACAAGCTTCTGGAAGAAAAAGCCAAAACACAAAAGAGTTTGTGCCATGCAAATACTGTACAGCATTTACACCTGTGAGGCAGAAGGAAAGATGCAAATATGCCATTTCAAATGTATAAATGTGCATATTTAAAAAGATGCCAAAGAAAAGCCAAAACTGAAATGGAAGCTGGATTCAACTACCCAAAACACGACAATGCTCAATCTGAACACAATAATGAAGCAATTGTACAAGGCTGACCAAAAGTACTAGTCACAAAGACACTACTTACTGGAAGGGCATAATGGCCTCGTTTACTTCACCCTGCTTGAAGTAACAAGATTGAATGGACCAAATATAAAGCTACTTCTGCTAGGTTCCAGGAACCATCATCCAACTGGAACACACAAAAATGAAACAAGAAGCAACCTATCTGGAGAGATCTGAGATCACAATCACAATCAGAACCAATTGTAGAAGTCTAGATATCTAGAAGCATCCTGTAAGATTGCTGTTTCCTTCAGCCAAGCTTGAAATATTTTTAAGGGAATTCTTCCCTAAACTCCGCCTACTTTCTATCTGACTGATCTCAGCACCATCATCTCCTGCTTCATGGAATTAGCAAAAAAGGATCAACTATTCAGGTATTTTCTTCAATTCTCCAGGTTTTCTGGAGCAACATTTTTTGAAAAGCACATATTAGCTGCAGTTTTATCTGCGGAATGATGGCAAGGTCATAGATTAAACATGCAACTGAATGCCTAAGTTTGCTACTGGCACAACGTTAATAGAATGAGAATTTTCACAGAATATTGTCCTCTTCTGCCAATAATCATGTAACTTCTGAGATTGCAGGTCAAATTATTTAATTTTATTTATCTTTTAGTTTTCCATTAATTTCTAAGATGGAATTTGTGCTAAATGAACTATGACAATTTTATTTCTGAAACACTAAGGCAGAGAAGCACTGGCTCTTTACTTCTCACATAAATATATTGAGCAGTTCCTTTTGACACTAGTGACAAGATGCTGGTTTTCCCATCCCATTATGATCAGAATCCTCCTTAAAATACCAAACAAGAGAGGCTCTGAATCTGAATTTTGAGCAATACAACATTCTTATCATATGCATATAAAAGCAGTTCCAGACAACTTTTTATTCTGACTTTAGACCAGCCTTCCTCAACATGATACAGCTCAATGTGTTTACAGAAAAAATCTTGTTCACCAATCATGACTTTTGGCTCAGACTGTGGTGTTGCACATGGAGCATAAATTGGGACGGCTGGTTTAAATTATTTCAATAAACACAGAATCTGCTATAGGAGATAATAGCTAGAAAAATCAGTTTGCGCACCCTTTTTCCCTATAAAGCAAATGTTTGGCTTTTATTGCTGTAAATAGAAACTTGATAGTGTTAAGTAATATCTAGAGTACGTTTAGCGGTTAGATGTACTACCAATAGCCAGAAATAATCTAGATTTTTTTCCCCTATGACAAGCATAGGCAAAAAAAGATAATGGAACCTCATCAGTTATTTCTGAGCTTAGAAGCTAAGCGGAGTTTGTTTTGGATCTAGTTAGTATTTCAGAGACCTTTAGGGAATCCCAGTTTGTGGATTAGGGAGGAGTCCAAAAATATCATTGAAGAAGGCAAGCCACTATCGTTGTCCCAAAAAAAAATGACATAAGCATATCCACGAAATCACCAAGAACTGAGCTCCACTTGAATCAAACACTACCTTTACAGTACTCAAATTCTCTGGAATTCATTCAGGTCACTGAATCTTTCTTCTCTTATTAGGGGGAAAAAACATAATCTAGATCATTCTAAAAACTTCATTGGCTAGGAACTCTGATCAAATAGCCTAGCATTACATTCTTAAGTATGGCTGTGATCCAGATGCATTAAAAATAAACAGGAATGTGATCATTGATGTCAACGGAAACACTTTGAATCCAGACTACAGTTTCCCAGCTGTTAAGGCAAAGCTTGAAGAGAGGCAAAAATGCTCGCCGCAGGAGTTAACGTGGCTTGAAAAAGATCCTGCCCAAAGTCAAGAAGCTGATCTCTGAAGAGCAAACGGGGTAAAAAAAATCCATCAGCTTCCTTGCCTAGCAGATCACATAAAAGAAAATCAAAGCAGAACCAATCATGAATATGCTTGTCATTAACTTGAGCTATATCAGGTGTTTTGTAAAGAATAGGTTTTAAAGTAAAACTGTCTTCTTCCAGAAGACGATCTAACAAACCTCTCTCCAATTTATCTGTGATATCCCCACTAAAATCTGCATATTCTTTGAGTACAGTTGCATTAATGCTTGGCACTATAGGGGATGTACATAAGTGAAACATGCTGCCTTTTTCAGTAGTGAGCACAGGGTTTTTTTTTATGAGCCATATTTAGTTAAGAATTGGAAACCAAGTGCAGCAGGAGGCAAAGTGCAGAATCCATTTTTCTTCAATTGTCTCCAGGACCAGAAAAAAGGACTAATTTGGCTTGAGACCACCAGAAAGCAATACACATAACCCTGGCCAGGTCCTGATGAGCAAAATTTAACCAAAGGGGAAAATTTCTCCAAGGGAGCATCTTGCACATTCTTCCTCAAATTAATCCCCTTTCCTGATCAGCCAGAAGAATGGCAGCACTGGGCAAAGGCAACAGTCCACAACCTGGAAGCTGGTAGCTTTGTTTGAGAAACAGCACCAGCATGTGATTCAGGCATACTTCAGAGGAAGCTGCATCACACCCAAAGTGGCTGGCAGCCAAAAGGAAAGAAAACATAGGGTCCTGCAACAGATTTGACAAACACTAATTACAGAAGACATCATGCCAGAGACAAAGGCTTAGTGGAAACCCACTCTGGCATTTCCCCAGCCCTCTTGGCACCAGTCCTGGCCCACTGACGAAGGTATGTTGCAAATACAGCCTTTGTAGACACAAACAGTGCACTGTTCTCTATCGTCTTCAAGGAGACTCTTCTCTTTTTGTTAACCAGTTTCCCATCACTTTCCCCATTCCCCAATGAAGACACTGGATGTGTAACTTTTGAAGAACCATTTGGACCTGTAATAAATTTCCCTATTCCCCCCCCCAAACTTCCACCATGTACCAAAAGCCACCCAATATGGCAAAAATTCCTGGGAGGCAGCTCTCAGTATCAGCAGTGGTTCAGTAAGCCTTTAGAGTTTTCGAAATGTCATGGTATCCAACAAAAATCAAGAAAATGTTAAGGCCCAAATTAGATCAACTAACTGGAATGTACTACTTAGCGCAGGAGAAGGAGCCAGGTCAGACAGTCCATTCATCAGCCTAACAGGAAAAACGTCTAGCAATTTTATGGATGGTTACATCCACTGCAGTAATTGGTGAATGAGGGAAAACCTCTCACCATTGGGTCCTGGGATTGTGACTGCCGCTTGCCAACTCCAGACTGATATAGCTTTCATTTGTTCTAGTCTTCCTGTCTAAGGAAATATCTGGAGCAACATCATTTCCTTTCCTGGCTCTTGTTGGCCTTGTGCTTGAATGCCATTGTGCTGTCTCTGATCTTGAGTTGGGGCTTTCCCCCCCAAGAGTAACTGGGTGGAGTGGTGGCTAAAGGGTTACAGCGCCAGCAGGGTTGGAGAGTTCAAGGAATCAGATGACTGATCCCCACTGCTGCTACTCCTCCGGTGAGCTTTGGAACAGGATTCTGATGGGGAGAGGGGTGACTCCTGGTCCAGCACGCTGGGGTAGGTGAAGACCAAGTTGGATGTTCCAGGGGTGACAGCAGGAGTTGAAGTCACCACAATGGGTGTGTTGAGTGGTTCTTCTCCATAAAACCCCCCAACAATGCTGATGGGCTTAATGACAGATCTCTGCCCTTTTTCAGGATCTGAAGAGGAAGAAGGGATCTCTTCCTCCACAGGCTCTTGCTTCACCACCACAGGACCACTCATTCCAGTCCGCAGGGCCTGGAGGTTATGAGGTGGAGGGGTTCGATGGCCCTCAGGACTGATCTTGCACATGGGGCTGTGAGCCATTAACATGAATTTCAGCTTCTCCTTCTCTTTCTCTAGTTCAGCAATCTCCTTTTGCAGCACTGATTTCTCCTCTTCCAGCTCCTCGGTTTCCTGTAGATCCAAGATAAAGAGGTGGTCAGCAAGAAAAAGAGCAACAGCAACTAGCATTCCAAGATAAATAGGCTTCACTTCACTTTTAGCAACTGTCACAGAATACATACTGGCAACAGTTAAGGGGGATAGACTAGGTCCTCTGAGTGATTCTGTTAACTGCCTAAGGACTGACTGCTGGCCATTTAAAGGATAGATAGAAATCTGAAAGCAGGTTTGAAACACAAAATCTTTTCTGACAAAAATTCACTACATTGATATTCATATTCAAAATTTAAACTCCTTCCCCAAATGTGCTTTATTTACGATAAAGTACTTGTCACCATAAGACTCTATCAAGGACTGGCTGTTGTCCATGTACCCCTACTGACTGCTTTGATAAATTTGTATTAATTTAATAGGTAAAAATTGGAATGATTGCAAGATTAATGCTCTCATTAACCTTACAAGTAAAGGTGTAACCACAATTTACCTGTAACTGAGCACAGATGCATTCTTTCAGCAAAATTATGATATCCAAAAAGATATGTATGCAAAACAGGTTTGAGATAATTGTAGTTCTTTTGCTGGTCATGAAGAAAAGCAGAAGGAAATACTGTATAGGCATTTGCTTTTTTTTTGTATCTTAGGTGATTTTTTTAACACCTACAAGTGTTTATTCCACCATACTTGTATGATTATCTGGTATAAGCAAAATGAGGAAAAGTGGGTAGATCACTATTCATACAGCTATATTACTTTGCTCTTCTCCTTTTGTTAACCAATTCCCAGCACTTTCCCTATTCCCTAATAAAGGCACTGGATATGTAACTTTTGAAGAACCATTTAGATCTAGAATAATTTTTTTCTTTTCCCCCAAAATTTCCACCATGTACCAAAAATCAACCAACTATGGCAAGAATCTCTAGAAGCAGCTCTCAATATCAGCAGCACGAGCCTTTAGAGTTTTAGAAATGTCATCATACCCAACAAAAATCAATAAAATGTTAGATCATGTTGTATTGTGTAGCCACAAAATCAGATTATATGCCCTATTTACAAAGTTATCTGGCTTCATGGGCAGAGGAAGGCCTATTTTAGCACTTGGCCAGGAGGCTATTGAGAAATCCCAAGACTATAGGGTAGAATGGAAAGTCAAAAACAAAAGACATCGATGGGAAACTATATCAATATTGTTTTCAAGAAAGTGATTACAGTTTGTCCACAAAGTCACTGTCTGTTGAGCTCAATTCAACAAGATTTCATTTTGTCTTACAAAAAACAAAGGACATAACAAGAAAAGAGGAGATTTGTTCAAAATACATACTGCCTGGAGTTTCTCAGTCAGCTCTCGGCGCCTGTTACGGCATTTAGCTGCTGCTAGTTTGTTCCTTTCTCTTCTAATTCTTCGCTTCTCTTCTTCTTCAGGTGATAACTGTAGATAAGCAAATGAATAAAACATTAATTCAAGCTGATAGTTCGAGGGATGAATCAATGAGAAATATGATTCAACTGATGAACCCATGGTTTATTTTTTACCTTTCATTTATTGTTCAACTGATTTATATCCTCCTTTCCCTTCAGGAATTCAAGGCAGTGTGTCCATAACCCTCCCTCCCTCCATTTTTTCCCACAACAACCAATTTGTAAGGTGAGTTAAGTGAGTATGTGTGACTGGCCCAAGTTCACCCAGTGAACTTCCATGACTCAAGATGAACTTGAATTTGTGTCTCCCCAATTTCTGCCCAACCTCTTAACCTAAAACACTATACTAACCTGGAAAGTGGTAGCAATTAAGGCCTGAAGACTGGTGAAAATAAGACAGTTGCTTCAAAAGCGTATCATTTTACTAGCTGAATAATGCAATTTTGGATCTAGGGGCTCTGAGAAAACATTCTTTCTCACATCAAGATACTCTCATCAGGGCTTTGATATAATATAGCACTGGAGCCACTGAGGAGAAAGAAAAAGTGATAGCAAGATGGGGGAGAGCACAAGAACTGAGAAGCCACAGAAAGATTGGGCAAGAAAACAATGAATCTGCAATTAAGGCTGAATGCAAAGATAGAAGCCTCTCTGTGGTTTCGCAATGTGGGTGGTTTGTGAGGTAAGAGTATAGGAAGATGTTGCAAGTTTTTCTTCAGAAAAATCTATGTGCTTCTTCTCCTAGGACAACAGTCATTAACTGGAAGGTCAGAAGCCAAGGTCCAGGGAGCTGGACAAACTGGAATGGCCCTAATCAAATCAAATCAAATCAAATCAAATGAGCTGCCATTCAGTCTTTTCTTCTCCTACCTCTGACTTTTAAAGATAAGACCCTACATCATCAGGCAGCCCTTAAGCAACAGGAGATAAATGTCATGGAGGGTATATAGTGTGTTTCATTATGCCCACACACAGCCTAGAGAGGAGAATTAATGTTTTTTGGGTGGACTGTAACTAGTAACTTCTCTACCCTCTCCTCCCACCTGCATATGTGGCAGAGATAACAGTTATCTCAAAACCACTTCAGTTTCCTAACTATATTTAACTATCTGTTATAATGAAACAGGAATTAGCCACTCAAATGTTTTCTTATTCTAGTCAAGCATTTAATTCTATAAATGTCTTGGTTGAGTCTTAACAGCAAACTGGAAATAAGAAACATGACTCCAGTGCAAAATACTTGAATGGCACCCATGGGACTGGGTTTTATCCTACTTTCAGCTACATTGTTAAGTCTCTGAGCCTTCTTTCTCCTTATGCCTGAATAGACAAGGTCCAGCCAGGTCCACTGCAGATGAGCAGGGGTGAGGGGGGAAATCAAAATGTGAAGGTGGATGCAGTGTTGCAATCAAAGAGGCAGAGCTTTGCAACACTCCACCCATCTACTCAGGTTCCAGATTCTTTGAATCATAGCATTCATAGTTGTCAACTATGTTGAGAATTATGTAAATTGAAAAATCAAAATCACACAAATTCTGAGCCTTAATGGCTTTAAAATGGGACTAGATCAATAATGGAGAATGCCATTTTTATTTATTTGATGTCTATCTTACTTTTCATACAAGAACTGAAAGTGATACAGTGTTTTCTTCTATTTTCCCAACAACAGACTGTTTATGATATAGGATATAAGTTTCTGTGACTAAGGGTTGACTATAACATGGATTGTCTTGCGTCTAGTCCAACAACTTCATCACTGCACATTGTCTCTCGATAATGACTAGCTGTAACAGTTAGGACAGCACTCAGCCATCATGCTAAGCCTGGCCTTATTTTAAACATTGTTTAAATTTGCCATTGTGGCCTGGTTTTTGTACATATCTTTATGCCATAATGGGTGGGTTTGCACAACACACTAAACCAGAGGCATAGAAACCACATTATGCCATAGTATAATGAGTAATGTGTTACCTTCAAGTTCACATATATATTTATCTCTAAATTAGTTGCTCAGGAAGAGCAGGAGATTGCTATTACCTCTTGCCTACTTATGGATTATCCAGAGGAATACAGCTGGCTACTGTGGGAAGGACTGCTTGGCATGCTTTGGGCATTTCCAGGGAAATAGTCCTTATGTTCTTAGGATGGAACTACCCATTAGAGAGAAATACGGGGCTACTGCCTTAACTAGCAGCCTCATATTATATTTCCATCTCCCTAAATTTTTAGTTCTTAGTTATGCAAATCTATAAATACAGAAAGTTTTTAAAAAGTTAAATATTAGTCCATAACATTTAACAATATTGGATGAATGTTGTCATGCACCAATACGTCTCATTTTAGTATCCATTTAGTGATTTTCAAGCTTACATTTTGTTCAGAATTCCTGATAATTATTCAACAATACAAGGTTCTTGGATTCCCTTTACTTGAGAAGTTACTGCATAGTTGTCCACCAGACAACAAAGAATGGCATTTTGTATTATCTTAAGCCTCTTACACGAGAGTTACAACCAATAATTTAGTTGCAATGAAAATGAGATAGTGAACCTTTCCAATGCTTTTGGAATCCATACATTCCAGTGAAACGATCACTGAAGGAGACACTATTAAAATATTAACGCAAATGAAAACGTAAGCAGAGGTATCACATCAGATTGGGCTAATAATTTAGCTTGCTGAAAGCTGTCAGTCCTGATCGGTGTCAACTTTCTACCTTAACTCTACAAATCTTCCCAGCTTTGTTATTCAAGATTCCTTCACTGGAAAATCCTGGGACCAATTGAAGATCTCACACCAAAATGTAAGCTAGTAAGCTATGGTTTGCAGAGACTTTCTTATACTGAAGTCAGTATTCCTTCAAGCTAGATTCAGGTAATCCATAAATCTATTGTCAGTTGCCACAAACATTTAAAGCACAGACTTAGAAACATTGCATTCAATATAAAGTCCATTCCGCTAGTTATTTTAAATAGTGGAGCTACCTGCTCATCTCTTCTCCTCCTGCCCACGGTGGTCCCAATGGTTTTAATAACACCAGGCCTTTGTAGGGCTGTGTGTCCAGTAATTGAAGACAGATTGGGCAATGCATGGCTGTAGGGATGCGAGCGAGAGTAGGCACTTGGCATGGAGGTTATCACAGTGGGCTGAACCATCCACTGTAAGTCTTGGCTGGTGGTTATCGCGTTGAGAGTAGGAATAAATGTGTTGCTCGATCCTGGCATATCGACCCGGAATTTCTAGAAGACACAGAGAGAAGTCAGCAACTTATTTAAATGAAAACACAGGATGTCAAAGAACTCTGGCACAATTACATGCACTGATTTTCCACCAAATAAAAATGATGTGCACCTAATTCATTTGAGCATCCTTGCTGAAAGCGGTTATACATGAACTGGAATAGAGGACTCTGAAAAGTACTTTTAACTGGAGATGCCAGGGATTAATTCAGGACCTTAGTATCCAAAGAAAATGCTTTGTACTACTAGAAGAATAAAGAATTAGCAAATACTTCATTCTTGAGGATCAACAATATTACAATGTACGATTTCCATCAGACAACAGACACTTCCATATTGCTGCATGATTTCAGTATCATTGTGAGATTTTGTTTTATATTATTTTAATTGAAGTGATGACCGTACGCTTTCTTTTTCTGAGCTTTGTTTTCAACTTAGCACTTGCTAATTAAAGCAATACTTTCCCCATATATGTAGATCTAATTTTTTTTCAGCACATTGTTATCCAGACCAACACCGTTTCTAGACTGTGAGAACAAGAATATTATCTGGAAAAGACTAATGATATTTCATGTAATGTTCGCTTAAAGTCACAGTGATCCTGGAAAAATGATTTATGACCCATTCTCAAGCTTAGAACCGTTGGTCACGTGATTGCAATTTGGGCATTTGGCAGTTGGCTTGCATTTACAATGGGTGCAACCTCAAGCAATCACATGATTGCAATTTGCAATCTTCCCAGCCTCAGACAAGCAAAGTCAATTGTATTATCTTAAGCCTGGATTCACTTAACCAGGTCATTCACTTAATAACCGTGGTAAAAATGATAATCAAATCAGGTCTGGTCTACATGTTGACCTGTTTAACAACTACATAATGACTGAAATACCTGTTTCAATTACGGTTATAAGTTCAAGGACTACCTGTAAATGAATTTGCTTCCCATTTTTAAATACAGTACAATTGTATCTTTCTCCATCTTCAACTCTAACTCTTATATGACATACTTCTGATGCTTCAACAGTTAAGCTAGAAGATGTTCAAAGGGAATTATTCTTTGAAAGTTGATCTTGTAATGTTAATACACCTAATTTTATAGCTTCAGATGTGATCAAGATATACAGTATAATCATATTACATATACAAATATGTAAATTATTTAAAATATTGAAAGAGACAGTATTTCCAATTCTCATATAGAAGTAATACTTTAATGATTTGGGAAGATGATATTCATCATTCTAAACATTGCTGTGATTCATTGTTTGAATTAATCTTAAAGTATTAGGAAGAATACCCATTATCTACCTTTTCTGCCATGTACTGGAGCAAGCTTTTTATGGTCCTAGCTGTTAGTATTGATTTAAATACTAGGATATGAATACATACAATTTATTTTCCATTATTATATATCAGTATATTTGGGTAGATTTTTATTTTGTATGAATCTTTTTAAATATAAAATCCTTAAATATTTGAAAGGGAAACAATATAGCATAAATCTCTAGAGTCTAGACCCATTAAATACTACACACTTCTATTTTCCATTTTATATATTGGAGCAGCCAATTATTTATTTAAAAGAATCCAGAAGTGAGAGCGACAGTTAAACTGAAAACACCTTTGTTTCCTCTTTAGCACTGGGCATAATACATTTGCAGATGACTAGCCAACAATTTATGTGAAATAAATGCACCAACTGATCTTCTTGGATTACAGCTTAAATGTACAGTACTATCGTAAAAACCAATTAAATAGATAAAAGTGCCTTATACACTTGAATTTTATTAAATCAATTCACTCAAAGCTGAAACCTACATATTAGGGATGCCTTGCCTTGACCAACCTCTTCAAAGTGCTTACATGAAGCAAACACTCCCCCCCCCCAATAATGACTGGTTTACTTTTGAATATTAAGCATAAATTATTTTAGCAAATTGATGGCATGTGTCACTAACAGCAGAATTCTCATAGCGTGAATAAAGATGGCTATGTTATTAAATAAGTTGCTGCTGCCAATTTAAAGAAATCTTTTCATGTTACCCAGACCTGGCTTTTTAAATGCTTGTCTAAAGAACAAACATAATATGAAGACAGAAATGGTTGGGGTTGACTGCACTGGTTGGATTGGCTGAAGGCTCCAGGTAAGTTGGTATTTGAAGATAATGTTGCAGAAAACTGGAAAACATGAAAGCAAAGATTTGTGTGGTGTAGTTAATAGAGATAAGAAGACTGAAAAGTTCAAACATTTCTATGTCTTGCTGGGGAAAAACCCACTGAACATTTCCAGTTTGACAAGGAATTGGGTAAACAAAAGTTGTAAATTTTGATTCTTACATTTCAAGCATGATGGACCAAAAAAAGGAGGTTATTTATGGAATGCATCCATATTTCATGTGGTTTCATCAGGAGGAAGAAAAAAAATCAATCCTGGAGTGTTTGTTTGAAAAGTTATTAATACAATTTTGTTTGTGGAAACAGGATAGTAAAGTATAAGCAAATTACCTAGAGACTGAGACTTAACTCTGGAAAGAAAAACAAGCAAACAAACAGTAGATATTTCTGCACAGAAAAAAATAGCAGTAAATCTATTAAGTATACTCTGGACTATGCAAAAACAACTTGACACTACAGATAACACTATAGATACCAAGTTAGTGAAAGAAACTAAAAACTAAATAACTTCAAATGCCACTGTTAAGGATAGGAGCTAAGAATATTTGCAGCACTGTGATATTTATTGCAGCATTCAGACTTGCTTGAAATATGGAAGAAGATTGTAGAAAATGCGGGAGCTTAATCATTTTTATTTATTTATCAGGTATCTATCCTGCTTTTTAAATCAGGAATTCAAGTTAGTATATACAGTAATCTATCCTTCTTCGCCTCTCTGCTCCTTATCCAACACCCTATACACTCTACACAGCATTCAGTGCAAAACTAGGAGTAAGACGTTGCAAAGTAGTAAAAAAAAATAAAGAGTAAGAAGTTGCAGATAAAAGAAATGTATATGTTGTGGACTAAAAAAAAGATTACTATGAAGGCAACTGTATGCAGGAACTACAACTTTCATTTTTCAAATGATTTGGACAGATTAGTTTCACTGAACATAAATCATTATAAAAGTGATAAGTTTTAAAATAGATACTATTTAGATACACAATGTCTTGTTTATAAATGTTTATACAACCTTGTAAATTAAACTGTAAAGTAAATCTCTGGGAGAAAATCAAATGCATGATTGCTTATTTACTTTGGGCAGAAATTAAGTATGTGGGGAGATGTGACATTATTTGCAAATAAAGAGATAAAGGTTTCTCACTGGGATTTTCAGCTAACTATCTGTGTTGCAAAAGAGATTTTAGGTATGAAGATGATATTAGAAATGAACTGCATTTCAAGTACTGGGTTGTTTACAGACTACTAGTCTACTAAATGAAACCCACAGTCCATCCAATTATTTGTGCTTGTAGGAAGACATGTTTTTATGTTAAGAGCCAAGATATAAGGAAAAACAGATGAAATAGCCCAAGTTGCAGATCCAACAGGTTAATCTTGCAGTAAATGTGGAAAAATCAAGTAGCGAACAAATTAGAATTTGTTTCAGTTCAAAGAATACGAATAAGGATATTTTGAGAAAACACTTTTCTTTACCTACTTTCTAAAGTGTACCTTTTACATATTGACATCTGGCATTTCATCAGTTTTTGAAGTTTATCAGAGAATAATACAGCAAAATTAAAAAAAACTGAGATCATTACAGAGCATGATAAAAAAAATGAAACCAGTTCTGAATAAATTTACAGAAATAAATCTGAAATTAAATGTAGCAAATTTAAAAAGATCAACAGAATAAATCTGGACTATATTTTTACTGTCCATAATATAAAATTTGATAAAAGTAAAACTGAAGCTTTTGTTGGAATGCATCGTCCATAGAACAAAGACATTTTAGATGACTACACATTTATTCAAATTCATAGCAAATATGACCAGTTTTATAACTGTTATTGCAAGAAATGGAGTTTCAGTGGTTAGATATACAAGATAAGGCATTTGCAGAGCTTAAATATTTAACTAAATTGCTAATTCTGAGATATTATAATGGTGATAAAACGATTTCTATTTTGGCTGATGTTATTGCTGCTGGATTGGAAGTAGTGCTTACTTAAGTTTAGTAAAAAATAACTGTAGTAATATCCAAAAAAGGGGGTATTTTACTTACTACTTCAAATCTTATTATACCCAAGGGGCATATTAAAAAGGGTAATGTTGTTAAAAGGGTGTTTAAAAAGTAAAAGTTAAATCAGATTAGTCTTTTGGCAAATCTTTCACAGCCCAACCTTTCACAGACATTTAAAGTCAAAACCACCTGAGATAGAGGTTTTGCTACATCCTCTAATTGAAAAAAATGTACCGAAAAATTGAGAACAAGAGACAAACCAAAATAATACTGTATGAAAGCAAATACATTAACACATTTGGGAGTTAAAGAATATTATTTCTGAAAACTTGGTCAAGTAATGGGAAAGTGCAGAAGTCCTCCAGTGGGCATACTAGTGACAATGTGTTTTACCACAGCAATAGGAAAGATCTACAACTAGTCAGAGAACTTTAGCTTTCGGAAAACAAGCAGCATCAGAAATATTGAAAATGCAATAAAATGTTGTACCAAACAAACAAATCAGAATTTTGTGAATCTACTGATAACATGTAGTAGAAGAGTGATTACATAAACAGGAACTATTAAGTATTGGAGAAAACAAGTAAAATAAATCAGAGAGATGCTCTCTGTAGATTCAATTACTTCTGAATAGTGGATTACTCAAGTATATTTTGTATATTATTGTAGCAGTTTGACAACACCTGTGTTATTAGTAACAGATACTTTAAATAAACAAACTGAGACAACTGTTATTATTAAAAGGCAAGATTTTGTTGTCATCCAAAGAATAATATCATCACATCATTCTTTAGGTCTAACTTTTTTAATATTTGAA